TGCGATCGGTCTCTGGATCTCTTGGTCTCCCCGATCCTGTAAATTTGCATTGACATGAACCATCCTGCCAGATATCACCCAACTGTCATTCATCTCAGAGATGATTGAGTGGATATAGCCTTTTCCTTCTAGATCTAAAGGTTTATCTCACTTTTGATGGAGAGTTTAATATGCAATGGCAACAGTTACCCCGGAAAATTTATAGTTGTCACTGTTATAATTAACATCAAACTCTTTTTGCCCCTTCTTCTTCCTGCTAACCACAGCACAGGCAAACCAGATGGGAAGACATGTGCCAGTTTGGGCATGGTGACTGGTGTGGTTTTCCTAGAGGAGTAGTTGCCGTCCCGTTTTAGGATAAGAGCAACCGTCGCCATTCCAGTCGTTCAGCCCCTGGTGCCTGCCGAGAGAACCCACCACTGATGTCGACTGTGATGGATGTGAAGGATGTGAAGGATGTTAAGTTGGGATGATAAGGATTGAGACTGGGGCCAATCATGGGCAGCATCCCGTGGGATTATCGAGGTTACAATTGATTTTCTCGTGCAAGGAACGGTCCTAAGGGCAATCCAAGTCGTAGTACTACCGGACAATCCTAGCCAACGTCGTGTACAACTGTCAAGTACGGTACTGTACTTCGAAAAGAACACCGAGCAGGACTCTGAGATTGTTTGGTACAATGCATCCATAGATCGGGGTTGGATTCGCCTCGTGTCGAAGTTCTAGACATTGAGATTAAGTTCCCCTTATTCTTGCTAATTGTTTATTTTACTTTTACTTATTTTTAAATTAATTTTCTTTTTTTAATTCGTTTGCCTCTCTGGCATTTTTATTTGGGTTTCCCCTATTCCCCTTACCGGTGGCTCGACCAGAGTTGAACCAACCACTAACCTGGAGGGCTTGCGAATCAATTACCATACAGGTAATTCATCTTATTAGGGCCTAAACTTGAAACAGGAACCCCCCACAGCTTCGACTTGTCACGTTTCGTTTTCCCGGCCTGCGATACCTTGGACCTTTTCGTTCTTATCTGCCCTGCTTCGCTCACCGTTCTTTTCCATTCCTCTCTCTCTCTCTCTCTCTTCATCACTCTCCTGTCCTCTGCTTCTTAAATACTGCAGCTTCCCTGCAGCACTCTCTCCTTCTATGCTTAGCCTCGCCCGCAGAACCCTGAACCGCGTCCCCAGCTTCCAGGATATCCTACAAGGCAGGATGACCCACCCAGATATGTAAGTACTCGCCAGACTCAGGGGCTTGTTTCGCAATGCACTGACACAGGGTCTTGCTCGACTACAGTTCCGTTGACGTTCTCGTCATTGGTGCCGGCCCTACTGGTCTTGGTGCCGCCAAGCGTCTCAACCAGATCGTACGATTCTCCAATCTTGCGCCGTGTCCCCCGAATAATATAACTGATTGCCGTCATTTTAGGATGGTCCATCTTGGTTGATCGTGGACAGCAATGAAACTCCTGGTGGTCTTGCTTCCACTGATGTGACCCCCGAAGGCTTCGTATGTACTATAATCCAATTGCTTCGTGAAGGCGGCATAGCTAATAAGGCGATAGCTCTACGACGTCGGAGGCCACGTTATCTTCTCCCACTACAAGTACTTCGACGACTGCATCGACGAGGCTCTGCCCAACGAGGATGACTGGTACAGCCACCAGCGTATCTCTTACGTCCGTTGCCAGGAGCAATGGGTCCCCTACCCCTTCCAGAACAACATCTCCATGCTTCCCAAGGAGGAGCAGGTTAAGTGCATCGACGGTATGATCGATGCTGCTCTCGAGGCTCGTGTGGCCAACACCAAGCCCAAGAACTTCGACGAGTGGATCGTTCGCATGATGGGAACTGGTATCGCCGATCTCTTCATGCGTCCCTACAACTACAAGGTCTGGGCCGTGCCCACCACCAAGGTACGTTGATGCTCTGGTAGACCGATATTGTGCATTAGAAGACAGATTGGCTGATGGTTCGCGACTTTAGATGCAATGTGCTTGGCTCGGTGAGCGTGTCGCCGCCCCCAACGTCAAGGCCGTGACCACCAACGTTATTCTTAACAAGACCGCCGGTAACTGGGGTCCCAATGCCACTTTCCGTTTCCCCGCTCGTGGCGGTACTGGTGGTATCTGGATTGCCGTCGCCGACACTCTTCCCAAGGAGAAGACCCGTTTTGGTGAGAAGGGCAAGGTTACCAAGGTCAACGCCAACAACAAGACCGTCCAGCTCGCCGATGGCACCACTGTCGGCTACAAGAAGCTCGTTTCCACCATGTCTGTGGATTTCCTTGCTGAGGCTATGGGTAACCAGGAGCTTGTTAGCCTTTCTAAGGAGCTCTTCTACTCTTCTACTCACGTCATTGGTGTTGGTATCCGTGGCTCTCGCCCCGACAGAATCGGTGACAAGTGCTGGTTGTACTTCCCCGAGGACAACTGCCCCTTCTACCGTGCCACCATCTTCTCCAACTACTCTCCTTACAACCAGCCCGAGGCTTCTAAGAAGCTTCCTACCCTCCAGCTGGCTGACGGCTCCAAGCCCGAGAGCGACGACGCCAAGGAGGGACCTTACTGGTCCATCATGTTGGAGGTCTCTGAGTCTTCCATGAAGCCCGTCAACTACGAAACACTCCTTGCCGAGTCTATCCAGGGTCTCGTCAACACTGAGATGCTGAAGCCCACCGACGAGATCGTCTCCACATACCACCGCCGCTTCGACCACGGCTACCCCACTCCCTCTCTGGAGCGTGAGGGCGCCCTCACCCAGATTCTCCCCAAGCTTCAGAACCTGGATATCTGGTCCCGTGGCCGCTTCGGTAGCTGGCGCTACGAGGTTGGCAACCAGGACCACTCGTTCATGCTTGGTGTCGAGGCTGTGGACAACATTGTCAACGGCGCCGTTGAGCTGACCCTCAACTACCCTGACTTCGTCAACGGCCGACAGAACACTGAGAGGCGTCTGGTTGACGGAGCTCAGGCGTTCGCCAAGGGCAAGTCCCTGTAAGCGGCGCGGGCTGCGCGATCGCTATAGATGATGACCGGTTTAATATTGAATGATTCAAGGGGTAAAATCTTTAGATATACATTATGGGCAACGGGAGCCATTAATTTCATTTGGAGCGATATTTGGGAGATGGTCATTGCTGGGCATTTGATGTGAATCAGCGTCTTCTACATTCCCGCTAGATTCTTTTTCTACCTATACATTTTTCTTTTCATTTTTGATTCTAGACTTGAACCAGGGCTCTTGCGCATTGGTCATGTGTTACTAGGCAGACTGTTTGATATATAGCTTTTTGGGGATCATCAAATGTCAAAATACCCTTTGTGTTGCATCTGCGTGGTTCTCTGTGACGAGAAGCGAGCGAAGTATGGCATCGTTACGAACCAAATGAGCATTCCAGACACGTAATCTTGGACATATACGGAGTATACAACCATCACACGAGCACAAAGACGCAAAATTTGCCTGACTCGGTTGATCGTCTCATGCACAGGCAAAAATGCCGAGCTTCTCGTTTTCCTCCGTTCGGAGCTGTCCGCTCGGCACTTGATCCAGTGGGTTTAGACCGAGAGCACCAGAGTAGCTCTGACTCTTAAGTGGAGGACCCTAATTAAGGGTTCTCTCCATGGTAAATTACGATAGACGCCTCTAGGATGATGACATTGACGCTATCTCTGCAAGAAGGGACGTCGAGGCGTCGACGAGCACTCAAGCTCGGACACTGAGATATATCAGGATCTGCAGAGCTATTGATTGCTTGAGATGCACGCGCCTCGAGTTTTAATTAAAGTGCCGACACGATCATGGCCATCGCTCAGGAGTTGTCTGCCCACTACTAGTCCATAGTGAATACTGGCGTGACTTCGAAGCTAACATCCCTACGAAAATGCCGATCTCCACATCCAGGCTCGCATCGTCCAATCGAAGCCGTGGCGGGTCGGACGCGTCAGTTCTCCATCCTGAGATGACCTCATCGTCGCTATAATTAAAACATCGTCTGCACACCGTCAGAGATAGATATATGCTGTTCCCTTTCGCGTATCTTAAATCAGAAAGGTGATGTGGCGAGTTATTCATTTCCTTGCTTATTGTTGCCACTGTGGTGAGATACTCTATATTAGTTAGGGCCTTAGGTACACAGTACCTACTACTAGGTAATGCGTACGGAGTACATGGAGTGCTCATACTTCACCAATCATTGAACGGGAAATATACGATCTTTCGATGCATGTTTCATCCTCGCCTATCATGTCAGACGTAGATTCATCTGACAGATGCGTGTCTCAGTTAGAATCTTATCCATGATATAGCTATCACTTCTACTGGCTGATATAAAAAGAGCCCCATGCTCATTGGTCAGTTATATCAATAAGTACATGGGGAAGCCCTGGATATGGATCATATTATATTTAGGTACTTTTGTTCTCATGGCTTATTTCCTTGCATCTAATACGTCCTCGCCCCCTCGATCTCGGTCCACGTCATGGTAATCATCCAGATGTAGCTGTATGCGCCTTTAGAAGCCTCGATCGAATCTGATGGGGGTATCCTGATAGACCCCTAGGAGTCCCTAATATTGCGGCTCATGTGATGAAAACACCGGTAGATCACAGATGGCGATGATATAATCGCTTTTGATGGAATCTATACTACTACATAGTAGTGGTGGTAATCTTATCCACTTTTACTGTTTACTGTCGTCCTTAAACCCTGACTTTGTCTATAGTGAAAGACTTAATGAAACCGATCTGATCAATTGGTAATAATACATACACGTATCATAAACCTGCATACGTACAAAGGAAAACACAAGTTCTGAACATAGCGCCGTATGATACAAGAAGCAAAAAGCCCACCCGAATGCCTGAGACTCTCAGCATAACATCCTGATTGCATAGTAGCATACTATGTCGTTCCTGCCTAGAGCGTCACTAGCTGCATGTCTCGCTCTTCGTATGCAGCAACGCCAAGTTCATGTATAGGCCATAGAAACATTGAGCTCTAAATGCGCTCGCCCTTATGATCGAAACATTTGATGAAGCCATGGTCATTGGATATAACGGCGTCTTAAGCTCAACAGTTAGAATAAATAGGCACATGCTTGTATGTATGTAACATGAAAAGGGAACTCACCGAGATTGTATACCGTTGTCTGGATTACGTTCGGATCATCAGCACGTTGACAAAGAATCTTTGGACTCGACGTAGGCTCGTAAGTCAACTGATAGCATTTAGAATAGTTGTTGATCCCATTCCCACTGTTTACAGTTAGCTAGGACATCTTTGACGACGTGCTTTATCGAGTGGATGAACGGCGCGGGGTTACTTGCTCCTTCTTCATTTCGTACTGGCCAAAGCAACGATTCAGGTTTAACTTGGAGGTAATTTCGGTCCCGTCGCCGACCGCGCAGGTTGCAACCAGGTCCTGAACTGCATGACCTCCATCCTTGCTGGGCCTATTTTTCCCGTCGAGCTTGATGTCTTTGCAAGAGAAACTGAAGTTCCCTGCGTTTGGGTCAACGGAATTTTGGAACAGATCAGAGATGCCTAGCGGCGTAGCCAGAGCTGTCAAAGGCAGAGCGATGAAGGGTAGGAGTAGACGCATATTTCTTTTTTGGTAAACTGATCTTCTTCGGTAAACTGATGGGAGCGAGCTTGATGATATGTGTGCTTCCAAAGGGCATCCAGAGGACCTATTTATATTATCCTCATCGTACCGTGTTGGAGTGGACATTATATCCGATAAACGACTCGGATAGAATTTTTATGAGATTTCACACTCCCAGTGAGGTGTGTTTCTTTGTTACCCTACCTATATCTGGATGCCCCGTCCTTGTTGGGCAAACTGGGGCAACGCCACGCGGGGCACTGGGCTATGCCTTTAATTTTAATTCTTTCGACAGGAGCAAATCTCTTCCACTGTGATCATTGACTTGCCAAGCTCTCCGGTGTACAAGAACATAGAGGGCGTAACGATTCTTGCAAAGACTCTCCAGAGTCGAGGTATCACGGCGGTGCGGACAGTGAAGAACTCAAACCTCACTATATTCATATTGGTGAAAACGGGCAACGCAATTGGAAGATAACACGGGGCACGCGTGGGGGTAAGATCATAAGGCGATTCTAATTCTTGGGGAACAACTCCCCCAGAGTTGTTCAGAAGAGCAATACATGATCACGCCCGGGCGAGTATGTAGTAGTATTCCCGTTAGGATCTAGACCTACCCGTGCTAAATATGGCACCTATATAGGTTAGATAGTCAGTAAATCTATGATACCTAATATAAGAATAATTAGATATTTTAGAGGCCACTCTATTTGAGATTCATTCTATCGAGTCACCTACCCCACTATTACACTAAGGAAAAAGGCTCACAGGGAATCCCAAGCAAGGTATCGATCGATTAGGTGGTATATATAGGGTGGCCTATCTCATACAAGAGATCACATAATACACCGTACATCCGTAGTGGTGGCTCGTGGATTTGGGAACTCGTCCCACGCGAGTATGCATATGTTCGCATCTTACAGCTTCCAAAGCAGACTTTCTATCCACCTGCTGTCCTGGGACTAACCAGTCCTGTTATAAGCACTGATCCTCTCTGGAGATTGTTGCTCGGGTACTAACTACATTCGACGTGCCAGTCTGTACGCTTTTGCGTATTGTCTTTATAGACAGGCAGTTATACCTGCACTTGGATTGCTTCTAACTTACTTCGTGACGCAATAACATCGTGTAACTGTTCGTGGGACAGGAACTCAGTCAGGCAAGAGACCGAGCTCACCCCTGGTCACCAGCCATAAATCGCTCCACTAAACACCAACACAGACATAATACCCTAGCCACAGAGTCGTACAGGAAGACCCCACATACGGATTCCAGCTAGCAAACTGCATGGAGGTAATGGAGTACTCTTGCTCTATTGACCAGCAGCTATCGCCACTAGCCACAAGATGCCATTTGGCGCATGAACTGATGGTGTCCGGCATCGGCCCTTCACGCTTCGTCGCAACGCAGTAGTAATACCCTTGTTGCAGGTTACTGCAGTTTGGGCCGATTGCCGGATTCCATTCGTAGAATTTGGCTGCGGTGAGGTAGGAGTACTTCTTATTGATGATCGACCAGCAGTCGTCCCCTTCTTGGGCCTGGTAGTAGGCCGAACAATCAGCGATAATGCCAGACTGCGTGGGAGTGGGCCCAGTGCCGGCGGTCGTTGTTGTGCTGGTTGTAGTCTTTGTCGTGGTTGCGTGGGTCGTTGCGGTGCCACCTATGGCTTCGTGTTAGTTTTTGTGCGCGATAGGAGGAGACAGGCGGCAGTGATATTACCGGAAACACCAACGCAGACCCAATAGCCTGCCTGGAGGCTGCTGCAAGTTGAGCCGACTGCGGGATTCCAGGAGTAGAAGTCACTAAGTGTGATACCGTTCTTGGCTGCAATCAGAGCACATTCATCGCCAGCTTCTACGAAATAGTAATTGTTACCTAGGGTATAGTTAATTAGGAGCTTAGGTCAAGTGGAAAAACACATATGGGGGGTAGAGTAAGGTAGCATACAGCTAGATATAATCCCACTTTGCTGGGGCGAGTGGGGTGCAGATGTGGTTGGTGAGGCCGTCGTTGCTTTGGAGGTGGTAGTGGAAGTAGTAGACCCGGCGACGCCAACGCAGACATAGTAGCTTGGCTGAAGTCCGGAACAGTCGGCTTTCACAGCACTGGCCGATGCCCAAGCAGTTAGTGATGCGGCCATTCTCTCGACTTAGATCAAACTCACGGGTTCCATGAGTAAAATTGTTCTACTGTAAAGTTGCCATATGAATTGGCAATACCCCAGCAGGAATCATCCTTCTGCACGTAATAGAAGGCATTGCAGGAGGAGATCAACCCAGTTTGAGTGGGAGATGGGCCTGCCGCGGTGGTCTTAGTGGTGCTTGCACCTGTCGAGGTAGAGGTGGTAGTGGCTGGAGCCTCTGTAGTTGTGGTCGTCTTCTCGGTGGTGGTCGGAACCGTCGGAGCTTCCACACAATAGCTCCATTTCTCATTCAGCGTGCAGTCAGTCGCTTTCAAGGATGGGTTCTACGGCAAGGGCTCGTGTTAGCAGTCAGCAATCTTGAATTCTATCATCAAAAGCGTTTTGTTTCTGCCTTACCCAGGAAACAAGCTGCGCATGAGTGATGCCGTAGTAGCTCTCCAATGCCGCACAAGTGTCGGTGGACTGGATCGAGTTGGCCCAGTAGGTACAGCCACTGTTTACATTTGGGTCCGTTTCACCAGTTGCAAAATCCGCACTAGAGAAGCGTTTCCCGAGTGTAGCAGCGTTTACTGTCCCGAAGAGCGACAGTCCTAGAATCCGAGCCAAGATCATGATGAGACGCAATCCGGTGGCTCAAATGACTAAGGTACGACACTATCTATTCCAAATCGACGGGAAATAGGGATATCAGGCGTATGCTGTCTCTTTCACCATGCTACGCGTGCAGCCCACCGAAGTTGTAGACCTAAAGAGGGACGGAACTATTAGAGCCTTTCATGGTGAGGAAATCAAGCGCCAACAGCAACGGAGTTTATAGGTAGCCGGCCGATGCATGCCACCAAAATCTCTTCCGTTAAACTAGTGATAGGACTGGATTGAACTATGAGGAGGCCATGACACTAGTCGCCTCTACTCAATATATCACGTTATGGTTACATGCAGAGCCCAGCTAACTGCGTCGGAAGAAGGCATATTAAAACTGAGAATGGCATGATAATTCACATAGTGGAGCACAGTTGGGTGCCTGACAGAAAATCCAATTTGCCATGCAGTTTGAGATAGTACAAGCTCCATCTCGTGTCATTCGTCGTTGAGATCCACTTATTAAACAGTGATGATCTAGAGCCCGGAAGAGCCGGGAGGAGCCGGGCCTTGGAGATCCAGACCAGATGTACATTTGAGATTAAAATTGCGCCGTTACATCGGGCTTTAAACCTTGTATGTTTCTATGCCTACCGTGACAAATTTTGGCAAGCAATGAGATTTTGGGAGCTAAGGTATGCCTGATTAGGTGCTGCTAAGGTGCGTATAGAGCGCATGAACCATATTCATCCTAGTGAGAATGCACTGGCGTCCAAAGAGTGCTTGCCCCACAAAGGGGTGTTCACGGAGGTACGAGGGGTTTTAGAAACGGAAAGGATCAGGAAGAAAGACTCAGGGGTGGTGATATACCAGGCCTACTATACATCCGTAGAAGCTAGAATAGGACCAATACAATACTTAGTAGGTCATAGTGCTATTGGTGTAACGGATCGTATTGATCGCGAATAACGACACTAATGGCACGAAGGAGCGGCAACTTCGGAACATACCCTTGCCGTCTTGTATGTGTTGCTAACATGGTGGATATATCATTATTATGTTGGCGATGTTGCTTGCGCGCAGGGTAGCTGGGATATCGGTATGATGGATGTATTCGTGTTATCAATGTTGTGGTACTAACTTTTGGGAAGGATAAACTATCACAGACACTCTTAATTAGGTGCTGAACAAGAATATTGGGGTGCACACCAGCGTTGTATCATGATATATAAATATAAGCTCTCCGCCGACCAGGTGTGATCGTGTCTTCAATCTGATATGAGATATCTGGCATCCGGAAGTCTGGAACATTCCATTGTTCCGTCATCCAAAGGTCAGATGCCCCTTTTCTTTCAGGTAATTCTTGGTCTGCAAATTTTGACAAAAGGACCATTGCCTCCTCATACTTCCTTTCCGCCGCGAGCTGCAAATCGGACCGCCCTGGGAGGATATCCTTGTCTAGAAGAAGCTTCAGAATATCCAAGCGCCGAAATTGTATCGCAAACCCAACTGGACTCAAGGCATAGATCTTATCATAGCCTTCTTCGTCCCTCGCGTTTAAACTGTGTGTCAGATTTGGGTTCACCCCATTGTCAATGAGCATTACGACCATCTCATATTGGCCTTCCATAATCGCGATAAATAATGGCTCGAAGTAAAACTTAAGCTTCAGTCCGTAATCGAGAAGGAGTTGCAGTAGAGCTTTATCATTTCGACGTATAATATGACGCAGGCCTTCGTTATCGTGTGGCTGCATACCATGCTTGAGCAAAAGCTCGACTAGTTGTGGCTGATCCGTGCATATCGCTAGCTCGACGGGACATGGGCTCTCAAAGAGACCGGATCGTGCCCCTAACTCAAGAAGCCGGGGAATAATGGAATTGTTTCCGGAGTCAATGGCGACACTCAGTGCTGAGAGAGCCTTCGGATGTGTTCCTGCAGGATCTAAAGGGGCATTATTCTCAATCATCAACTCCACAAGGTCACTGGCGCGCGAGCGGATGGCCCAATGAAAAACCGTACGTAGCTGCGCTGGTGAAGAGGCTCGACCTGGTCTTTTCTCGGATAGCATGGCCTTGAGGGTTCCAAGATGCCCACCCTGGGCGGCAGCTAAGAGCGGATTGACTTCGGAAAGGTCAACCAAGTCATACGGGTTGTAATCGTCTTCATCTAGGCCTTCATGGGAGGAGATGTTCGCACCGGCATCAAGCAATCTTGTCGCCAGATCGGTATATCCATTTCTCGCGGCCCAGAGCAGGGCCGAGCTTTGATGATGCTCGACATTGAACCGACACAGCAAAGCATACAGGGCATGGTGTAGAGTCTTGTTGGTCCGTACAAGAGCGCTGATGTCTTTCTGATTGTGCAAGCTTTGTGCAGTTAGAATAAGCAGTTCAAGTGGCAGTTGATCTAACCGGGCCATGATATCGAAGGTTTCCAAAGGACTTTTTCTTTAAATAAAAGGGTGGCCCTGAAGAGGTTGCGTTAAGGACTAGAGTACGTGGAAGGGAGAATGTCGATGGAGGGGTGGGTCACATGTTCCATGTTACCCTACTAATTTGCAGTAGTAAGCCACGCTTGGCTAGATCCCTATGTTCTTTTACCAGCTTGGAATATTCTAAATAGAAAAGTGTACACAATCACCTGGAGTAATCCAGAGTTTCAATAACTTGACTATACCATGCCCCAGTTCTTCAACTTATGCAAGCACAAAAGCGAAGACCGGACTTTAGAGCGACCACCAATGGTCAGAAAGTTTGATATCAAAATACAATGAAGGATTTCTAGCCCATACGAAAGAGGTAGTGATGTGATTTGACACTCCTGGCCCTTTCGTAGGAGCTATCCCACACTCTCATCCACCGATAGTTTGGCGAAAGCTATACCTAGTATAAGAACGCTAAATACTTATCCTCTCCAGACGTGCCTTTTATTTTGTATTCGGCGGTATTCTCCCCGCACTTGGCCCCTTTCCCCGACCAGTCACACCTGGAGTAATACAGGGCTTTTTGGCCGCAACCATAGATTAGCGTACAAACCAGCTGCAATAGTGGTTTTGGTAGCTTACGAACCTAGAGCAAAATATG